TTCAAATTCAGCCCAATAACACATATTTATTTTTATTCAGTCCGACTACTTTCAAGATATAACGAGTGACCACTCAGTAGCTATTCATCACCTCGAACTTCAACCACCAAAATTTCATAACATTAACGCCCGTTATACACAAGCGACCGTGCCAAATTTCCTTATTTAATCTGTGCCCCATACTGAGATATTCAACAAATAAGCTTTAACACACACGCACACGCACTTTCAAGGAAATGTTTCCATACTTTGTTTAATTTTTTTAGTTCATTTGTTATGATATTTTAAATAGTTTTATATACTGTATTTATTATAAAATGGCAAAATCGCTTAATTTTAAAAGTAGAAATAACTTTTCAAAACAATTGTAAATGCCTATGTCTAGTAAAATCTTCCTTAAGTCTAACATTAATTTAACTCCCCTAGTAGACAAACTTTACTGGAAAATTTTAGAAATTATCAACTAAGAGCACAAGAATTATTAAGCGTAATAGGGGTGGACAAACCGTTTTTTCCATAGATCAACATCTACCCATTGAGGAAAAACTTTTCCGGTTTCTTTTTTAATATTTCCGGACATTGCGAGGCACTCGAAGGCTAAAAAGAATGAGACAATTTTCTAGGGTCAGGTCTTGACTAATCGTCATGCTTCTCTTTTGTTATATATAAAAGACGCGAAAGTAAATCAAGTTTTTTATTAATAAAGTAATTATATATTTACAGTTACATTTAAAAATTTGTTCTTTAAAATGCTCGGGATTCATTGTCACCAGCCTAATAAACAAGCCAATCATACTATTTCTTTAGTACAAATTGAGGTACGAGTGTCATTGGCTCGATCACTTCGTACCTTACCGAGGAAACGTAAGTACTCGCATTTCGTGAATGTGTAAATGCTCATATAAAGTAAACAAAATAAAATGAAATTTATTATATTTATTTCCGTAATTATTGCCTTTACATTATTTTAAGAATTTAGTTACAGTAAAGTCTTTTTCCAATGATGGGGGGCGGACCGCAAATAAAAAAGCGAAAAATTTCTTCTATTTTTTCACTATCTGAAAAGAAAAACTAATTAAACTACAGAAACAAAACAATACAAATGTTAGAATATTATACAATGTTTATAGATATAGCTACACAGTGATATATCTATAACTCTTTAAATGACAATTATACTTGATCGATTTATCCATGTCGATACTGAATTATAAATGGTCTATGCACAAAGTATAAGAAATGATTTACGCATATGTCTCAATTTAAGCAAAATAAATATAAAAATACAGTTTATTTTATATTACTTCAATTTTCTAAAACTGTGACAGAAAGTAACTACGCAATGATCAAACGGTTTGACTGTTCGTTTAAGATGAAACCATGGGAAAGTACATTCGAAAGTAATATAATTTTTAATGGTTAAAGAATTAGATAAGTCAGTTTAGTATACTCTAACATTACTTCAATGTAAAAACAAAGAAATAAACATTTTTTGTTAATATACGTTTATTTATAACCGAAATTTGCTTGACATAGATGTAGTTCGTGACAATTGCGAGTTTCTTTTAAATAATTTATAGTCAATAAAGCTCAAATGTACGTATGTAGAAAATTATGTAGATAGATATATAATAACATTAGACAAATTCTTATTTTTAACAATGATACGGCGGGAGTAATAGTAAAACAAAGACGCATAAAAATACTACAGAACTACGTACGGAAGTTCAGTTTTCTAAGATAAGTAAATTCGCTCTAGAATTTTTCAAATATTCAGTAACACAAGAGCGTTATTATAAAAATGAAATGACAAAGACAATATAAACAAGTAATTATTTAATGTAACTACAATGTCGGGCAACAATGCATTTAGTTTAAAATATATACGCTCTACCTCAAATTAGTAGTGGCTTGCCCCTGTACATAATACTTTTCCTTTAACAATAGTGTCGTTTAAAAACCTTCACCAGATGGCTAAGGTATGAACATCGTTCTCGTGCTTTTTCCCTTTTTAATATGAAAATAACGTATATCCTGTTTTCATCCGAGAAAAATAAGCTTTGAAATAAAAAAAAAATTTTAAAAATCGGTTCGGTAGATTCTGGGATTACCTCGAGCAAAGAAAAAAAGAAATATTCTTGCTTCATATATTAGTAGAAAAATAGATAGAGATTAATGAACATTTAAACTATCTCCAGGATAAATTTACTTAGGCCTGTATTTCAATAATATATTAAATTAATACGAAGAGAAAATTACCTAGATCTGTTTCATTTGCTGCTGATGCCGCTTCTGTCGTCATTGACAAGAACAGAGGAATAACAAGAATCAGGCTAAAAGCAAAAATTAAAAATATGTCACTAGTCCAGAAAAAATATTTAATAAAATGAATTTTACAAATATATAATTAAATTTCACGCAAATCTTATTAAAACAATTATGATTGTTTTAAACAATATAAAATCCCGAGTACTAGTGCTAAAGCCATTGCCTGTATTGCGTTGCATAAGTATTGCATTCATAAATCTAATTAAAACTACAGTAGAGCGTCGTTTGTATGATTTACAGGGGCTGGGGTTGTTCGGATAACTTATTTTTCGGATAACCGATTATGTACGAAAAAATATAACCTATCCCACGTTAAAATTTTTCTCCGTTGCGTGTCGCTTTGCGTTGAATTTTCGTCGATGTTAAGCCTAATGTAAACTTTTTAAAATAATAATCGTGGCTATTGTATCGTTTAAAATTATTTATTTATTTTTTACAAACAAAATAAATATATTTAAAAATATAAAAACAAAAGAAATTATACGTTAGAAGTTAATCTAGTATCAAAAACGTTCGATTTAGCATGACACACAGTCCTCAGAAAAAGACCACAAAATAATGTCAATGCTGCCAGCTAAAACACACATAAAAAAAATATTGGAGTAGCGCAAGATATAGCCAAAGACTGCAGCGCCACAGCACTAGCGAAAATTTAAATTTGCAGACTGGAATTCTTTCGGATAACCGACGCTCTACCGTATTGGCTAATCTCAGTAGACAAAATTTCAAGCTTAAATTAAAGTACCAACAAAAAAAAAAAAAAAACTTCGCGTCTACACATGTACAAATGTTAAACGTGTTTATATCAAGTGTTTATATCAAAGTGTTTATATCAAACGTAAAAGGTTTACTTTTACGTTTGATATAAACACTTTCAACAGTCATACACTTTTACTAATATATTTGAGTTTCTTCTATTTCATGTTCAAAATTTCGTATTTAGTTTACAACTGCAGCGATGTACTAATTGAACGCAACTTTTGAACATGTATATTTTTAAGAGAGCAATATTCAAGCAGATTAATTTACAACTACAATTGAAAAAAATAGAAAGAAACTTGTAAGAATCGTTCGAATATTTTAATTTATTATTCATTAGATATTGGTAGAACTTACCAGCAGAAAATAGCCGAAATCTTCATTTTGTATTGATATACTCTGTATAATATTATTGGATTTGGTTAATTTCTGCTTTATATACTTTAGTACAGTTTGCTTTCGACGGTATAATTCTTAAAATAAGAAAGTAAATATCGTAAATCTATCAACAACATGAAATTCACGCATCTTCAGCAATTTAACACTTTTATTCTTACAGTATCATTACTGTTTGTTTCATCAACTGCTTAAAAACAAAAATGCAATGTCATTTTTGAGAAATCATTGTTTAGAAATCGTAAACAATAAAACAGAGTAACGACAATGTACAATGTAAACAGGTTTATCTGTTTAAACCTCAGCAATTAGATCAGTTGGATTCTTTGTATTTCTTAGATCTGTGGCCACTGAGATTAAGATAACACGAGACTTTTATTGATGCTCGAAACATGAACAGAATAACAAAGATAATAACATAAACCATTACGTTACAAGTCAGAGACCGATTTAAGATTAGAAAATGTTTTTACTGTATTTAATAAACAATAGATTTATAAGTTAGCAAAATTACATGATTTATAATAGTTAATTGATTGACATTTTCTAAATTGCACACTGTAATGATAGTAAATTATTATTCGATTTATCATCTTAATTGTTGACGGCGTAATTAAATTACAGTATAATTAACTTGTGAAATACTGCATCTAATAATTGTTATAATGGTAATTTCGGGTTAATAAAAATATTTTTGTGTACATATATTTTATAATATGATGAATAGTCACAAACGATGTAAGCTCAAAATAATTCGATTCTGTACAATTTAAATTGTGAAAATTGTTTTCTATTCCTTTATTACAAGTAATAAACCAGCAATTAATTGCTAGAATAATTATAAAATCTATTTAACAGGTATTTAATTCCCTTTTGGCTCAAATGGTCTAACTGGCACCCGATTTCCAGTAATTTTACTACGTTAACAATTATAACTTTACCTTCGTATTTGTTAGCAAAGTATATTACAAAAGAATAGATGGAAATTGATAATTGCTTTATTATATCGTGTAATAATAATACTTTTATTTAAAAAATAGTAATAAAATATTAATAAATTTTTACAATGTGTACGTATACTTGTCTGAAAATAATAGAGATACCTTCGCTTCTGCAGTTAACTTGCAAATAATATGTAAAATTGCATACACTATTGTATAAAGCAAGTAACTACATTTGAAATAGACACCTAATGCCATTCTTAGAGAAATTACAGGGAACTTTTTGCATTTTGACAATACAACACGATATTTATTACGATTTAAGATTTTGCAAATGCCAACATATAATTTAGTTTATTTACCAACCACATACGACCGACAACAGTTTTCTGCTTTTAAGCAATAATTTCTGCGATGAGGAAACTACCCTGAAAAATAACAATAAGAAGTATTGATTTGCCGTAACTGCATGAATTGCAGAATAATGTTATTTATGTATTGTTTGATAGATTTATAGTGTTTTCTTTCTTATTTTGAAAAATACTATATCAAAAACAACTAACGCAAAGTATATAAAACAGAAGTTAATAGCACGATACAGAGTATATCGATCCAAGATGAAGATTTTGACCATTTTCTGCTGGTAAGTTGCAGCAAAATTTATTGAATAGCGAATATAAAATTTTGATGAAGTTTTACAAATTTATTTGTATTTTTTAATATATATTGTAGCTAATTGTGAATTAATGTGCTTGAATATTGCTGTCTTAAAAATCTACGTGTTTAAAGGTTGTGTTAAATTAATACAAAATTGCAACTTCTTAACATTTCTCTAGTGTTCAAAAATTATAATTAACTCATTAATTTTTCTTATTTAATTACATTCTTTACTAGCATTCACGTACTCCAATTAAATATTTTTTTATTTCACTTTACTTTCTCTGTCTCTCAGTTCTTTCATGTATACATTTTTTACAGAAATTTTTTTAACTTACATTTTTATACCTTGCTAAATCAGAGTAAAAGAGAATTGACAGCTTTTGGTATGACGTTTTCTTTCATGTCACATTCTTCCCTAATGTTTTTATTCCTCCATTTTGTCAATGTACACTCGTTTCTGAAGTATCTCCTTTCAAGCAGAGTGATGCAACTCTGTTTGAAGTTCGATATTGTGAATTCGAATTTGATTGCAAATTAATACCTGAAATGCGGAAACATATACTCGAATTTCTGCACTATCTAATTGCTCGTGTTGACTCTGCTTTATGCTTAGCGCAATAATATTTGTTTTAGTAAGACTCGTGTTTAATTTCGTAGAGCTTTTTGAGAACATATCTTACTAAATATTTTTTCACCACTAATAAAATATTTTTCATTCCTGCTTCCAGCATAATTCTTATTTTACCTCTATTCTTGTGTATGCCGACGGACGTGACAACAGAACTGAATGAAGTAACTTCAGGTAATCTTCTGTTAGCATTAATGTATTTTTAACTGAAGTTTTGTAAACTTATTCGGAAAGTAGTTCAAAATTTTTTTAATTCCTATCTGTATCTGTACTAATATATGAAGCGAGAATGTTTGTTTGTTTGTTAGAGATAATCTCGGAATCTAGCAAACTGATTTTTAAAGTATTTTCTCTATTAAAAAGCTTTTCCCGTTCTGCTACACGTAAAATATATATTCTTAATATATTCTGTTAATACCCGAAGCTAAATTTCGATATTTTTACTACATTAATAAGTTTATAAATACAGTAGAGCGTCGTTTATCCGAAGGTCGGTTACCCGAAACGTCGGTTATCCGAAGGAATTCCAGTCGACAAATTTAAATTTTCGCCAGTGCTGTGGCGCTTTAATCTTTGGTTATGTCTTCGGCTACTCAAATATTTTACGTTTTTGATACTAAATTAACTTCTGAAGTATAATTTTTTATTGTTTTTATATTTTTCAATACACTTATTTTGTTGTACAAAATAAAAAAAATAATTTTTAACGATACAATAGTCTTCTTTAGGCTTAACATCGACGAAAATTCAACGCGAAGCGACACGCAACAGAGAAAAATTTTAACACGGGATAAATTAATATATTTCTTCGTACATAATTGGTTATCCGAAAAATAAGTTATTCGAACAACCCCAGTCCCCAATTGATTCGGATAAACGACGCTCTACTGTAATTAGTTTTGGTCCTGAATTACAGGGATTTCAGACATTTGCTCTCTTTTGTCCATAGGGCAACGCGCCACTGATATAAGCTACTTTAAAACTCTTACCTACCATTTCTTCCTAATGATTACTTAATTACTACAAAATACCAAATCCTTTAATCGATATATGTCAAATTTCGCATAGTTAATCTCTATACTATATGGGGAAACATCCGGACCTTTTATTTACTGTTTCTTATTGTATCCCTCAGCCGCAAACTCCTAAACCTTTTGATCAATCTGCACAAATTTCGAATAGTTATTCTAGACTAGGGGTCCCCAAAGTGGTCGATATCGACCCCTTGGGTTCGAATAGTGTTCTCCAGAGGTCGATGAATACACGAGGGTCGAAAGGGTGTCGATTAATACCAAAGAGGATCAATTAAACTGTCTAGAAAAAAATAGAATATTTCAATAAAAATTCGAAATACGGATATGATCAACAACATTACTGACTAACTACCCTAGTTATAACTCGAGTTTTGCCGTAGTCTACGCCGCTTTAAGCATGTGCTACTCTGTTTTCACGCATCTGGCAACTGTACAAGTGTTAGAAACATGTTATGAACGCTGGTAGTTCATTATACACAAGCATACGTTGCACAGTTACACTCTAGTAGGGTTGTGACTCTAAGTATTTTATGTCTAAAAGAAGACTTTAAAGCACGTTTCGAAGACTCGGAGAATATGCATGTTTTCGAATGGTTCGCTAATCCATTTGATGTAAAAATAGATAATGAAGGTAGTGAACCTGGCTTAGAAGATGTACTGATTGAAATATGTGTAGATCTCGAAGCTAAAGCGTTGTTTAAAATAAATACCTCAGTGAATTTTGGAACAATAACAATATCGCCACTAAATATTCCAAGCTCAGAGCAGAAGCCGAACCTTTCTTACTTGCATTCCCAACTTGATATATGGTTGAAACTGATTTTACCCACGCGAACGCAATTTTGACAAAACAGAAAAACAGATTGAACTTGGAAAACCGCGGTGATTTGCGACTAAAACTTACCAATTTTCAACCGAATATCAATAATCTTGCTGCTTCTCTTCAGACACATTCAACCCTCTAATATCAACTATTTTAAGAAAAAGGCGTGTCAACATATTTTAAGGCATTCAGTAGTAGTGCAAATGCAAAAATAATTTAATGTTTTTGTTAAATACATAATCTGGGGGTCGATAAGAAGGCAAATATTCTATAAAGGGGTCGACGGGATAAAAAGTTTGGGGACCCCTATTCTAGACAATACTCAAAACCATATACGTTACTTTAAACCTCGACCTTTCACTCCTTCCACTGCTTTCATTTCCCACAAATTGCTAAACTTTTTGAATGATTTGCACTAAATTTTGCATATCTTATCCTGTCCCCGTTTTAAAAGTATTAAATTTATATAAAGTAAACTATATTTTTATATTTATTTTTTTTTTTTTTTAAATTGTAAGACATGTGTGAATCATATTTAATAGTTGAGAAATAGGAGATTTGTATTTCTAAAATTTCAGTATAGACATGGATTTATCGATGACAAACATTAATGATTCAAGAGGTTATAGTGCATTTGCATCTATATATTAACACTATATCATTTCTAGTAGTTTTAATGTACACTTTCTAATTTTTAATTAAGTTTTTTTCCTTTCAGTTACTGAAGGGAGAGATGTAGAAATTATAGAAGACCTTACAGAATATGTCATGCATATTTGCAACATTTCTTCAAATCCTCTTTGTATGATCATACAAACATAACTAGCTATTAAGTAAATACTAAGAATAATGTAAAAGCAATAACTGCGGAAATAAAGATAATAAAACTTGATTTTATGCTGTTTATTTTAATGTAAATCATTTTTTTTACAAGATTTACAAGTAAACCAAACCAGCAACGAGTTGCTCAACTTTCTCGGCGACACTTTAAAATTTTGGTAGCTCCTTCTGTTATTAAATTTTATTAAAAAATCTTTTTTATATTTCTAGCTATTATCAAATGGCAAAACGCTTTATTTTGAGAGTAGGAATGAGTCACGTAAAATCGTCAATAATTTTGACACTACTGGAGATAGAGACGACCCCTTTATCTCCCCATTCCCTCTATCTTTAACTGTCAAAATTTAACAGAATCAGTCCCTCTAATACAGAAACCTCGCAGCAAAATTTCAAAAATTTTAGACAAAAAGCACAAAAGTTATATAACTTTAAAGAGGTAGAACAAAATAGAGCCCCACACACACACACGCACACACACTAACATTCATAAATAAAAAACATTATTTATGATTCTCAAACACAAAATCGTGCTACTATTAAAACACTTGGCGTTTTTTCATCTTTATTCAGTTGATACGAGTATTACTACACGTTTCGGGCACTGCCCTTTATCAGCTAATATTAGATTCTATACAAACTTGAAAGGTGTACACATGTGTAAGATTAATACAGTTTCGTACATCTGCCTTAAGTTTTACAATTACTGTATATTAATTGACTAGTGACACTCAGAAAACACTTTCTCAACAATGAAATCGAAAGTAGGCTTCACCAACATGAAATTTACGTACATCTGTGGAGCATGTTTTAAATTATGATAAACAATTCCAACATTGGATCTTGCCTGTGCATAGGCTTAATATAATTTATGTTTTTTGTATTTTTCAAATTCTGTGTAAATTTGAAGACTGTAACAAATAAAAAGTTGATAACTTCAAACATCCTTTACAACCGCAGGAACATATTTATCATAGGCAGTTTCGACTTTTTTCGAAAATCTTTTTCACTTACGAAGATGTAAATTGATTAAAAGTCCTTTTGGGACTTGTAAGACCTCCCAGTCCTAGGTAACATATAAACAATACAGTATATAAACAAAATCACATACAAATCGGTTCGGTCGTATTCACGTGATACGCGAACAAATGGAGCAAACGGAGTTGTACTGTACACCTATATTTCTTACGTTGGAAGGAATATAGATGTACAGTACAGTATAACTACAGATGAAAATACAGACGGAACACAACAAATATCCCAGAAGTCGGTAAAAAGTGGTTTAGTATGATGTACAGTACTTTGCCAGTGTCTGCAGCAAACTAAAGATGCTAGTGTTAAAACAATATAGACCTAAATAATATACTTTTAGGGGCACCCTATCACTCAACATTTAACACGTGTACGCAAACGTCACGAAAGGACTCGAGCTTAGGAACGATTAACTAAACAGTAAAAATTCTCTTAAAAGGAAAATAAATTAACTACTATACAAAAAATTGTACAAGTTCCCATTCAGAAATAAAGAAATTTATTTTTCGAAATTTCACAACTATATACAGTCGATCCCCCTATAACACTGTTGATAATTCCGTTTTATATGAATTCCATGTTGTACGAGTCACTTAGATTTTACGAATACGTGAGCAGTTCACAGCCCGGCACACGTATTTGTAAAATCTAAGTGACTCGTACAACATGGAATTCATATAAAACGGAATTATTAACAGTGTTATAGGGGGATCGACTGTATAAATTGACGCAATGCCATTAAATTACATAAAGGTGTAAAATTTCGAATTAAGAAAAATTTGTAATATATATATTTGGTTGCAAGAACAAATTCAACGGCAATCGATATTTTAAAATTTATTGACTAGAGTGCATTTAAAATTTGGGGAACCAAGAAAAAGCGCGATGTACGGAGGAGCCATTGTAATTGTTTTTATGTTCGAGTCGTCGCACCGTCGCGTGTGTCGCCTATTGTCAGGGGCGCCGCTAGCAGTTTTAACTCCCGTGTGCAATACCGATTATGCCGCCCCCTGTTTAACTACGATTACCAACGCTGAGCTTGCCAGAAAGGATCTTTAGTGTTGTCTCATAAGGGTGTGAAAAAAGAAAAAAATATTTTACAAAGAAAATCTATTTATTATTACTAAGTTATTTTTGTTTACTTAAGTTTAAAACCATATAAATATTTATCTATAGAAATTGAACTTCTCTTGCCTTTATGTTTGCGAAATCTGCTATCAATTTTCATGTATCCAAGCTGTCTAAGATTTCACGTTCAATTGAAAATATAGCTAAATTACTTAATCTTTGCTGGTGCGTTGTTGATCTTAAATAGTTTTTTTTTTATAATTTTAACTTTGAAAAGGACCCTTCACTAAATGCAACTGAAACCGGCAATGTAAGTAATATTCTTAGTGCCATTGCTGTGTTCGGAAATGTTGAAATTAAGCCATTAGTAAAAAGATATTGTAATAAGGTTTGAGGATCATTAGACTGGTTTTCTGGAAAATGCAACTTTAAAGTATTGATTTCATTAAACAAATCAATACTGTCAATGTCTGTTTCACTACTCGAATTGTCTTTAAATTAAGCTTCAGATTTAAATCCTAACCAAGTTAAAATATGATTAATTATACTTAGACTCATGTCAGAAGAATTATTAACAAAATAATTGCAATTTCATACGCGATACAACTGTTCGAATGAGTACAAGTATAAATTGAGAAGGGAGCTCTGTGGGGATTCCCTAATTTCGCCAGTCCTGTCAACTTCTGTAATAGAGCACGACTATGAGTACTTGGCTTTAGGATGGTTCAACCTGCCGACAGACGTTTCGCATTGCATCTTAATTCTGATAAATGCCAATAGAGGCGCTGTTAAAGCTATAATATAGGCTAAATAAGAATATTGTAATCGCTCTCTGCTCGGATTTGTTTTCTCTTTGCAAAGACATTTCTTATGCTATAAATAGGGTGGGTATTGGGACAATAATTTTGAATATTACGTGACCGATCGCTCGATTTGCCGCCCCTCTGGACGTGCCGCCCGCGTGCGGTGCACGCCTTGCACGCCCGCTTACGGCGGGCCTGGTGGATAGTGCCGGTCGTTGCCACCAAGAGCGCCATATCTAAGGTCACGGCCACTCTATGTAGTATATTGTGGCTGGTTGACTGACCCTAACTTAAATAATGGACTGGTAAAGTGTAAAGTGAACGTAAGTCACGCATGAGCATCGCTGCCGATTCATTTCGCCACTCCGTTTGACTAAGTTAAAATTTTTTTTAAGGATTATTCATTACTTTATTATATAAAAATGACTAGTAAACGGCAACAGAGGCTCGCCTAATGCTACGATTACACCCACTCTCACTTATGGATATTCAGTTGCCCACCGGGAAAGAAGCGAATGTGTTTCAGAATTACGCCAATTAATCATATAATAATTAATCTCGATATAAGACGACGGAATTCAGTCCGTTTACCAATAATCACGAAATATTTTATCAATACAAATTGAAAAATTTTAAATATTTTTGAAGGAATTCTTTTCGTTTTCCAGCAGGATTTACTTGTTTTTAAACATTGGATTGAATAACTAGAAACTGAATTAATAAACGAATTTTATTTGTAGAAAGTAAGAAAAATGCAATATTTAAAAACTGCTCCGTCTAAATAAACAATAATGTCAAATACTTTTCAAAATTAATTAATATCTTTAAATTTTATCAAATATTCTGTCCCGACTAAGTAGCGACACAGTTGCCAACCTTAAGCGAGAAAATTGTCCTACACCCGTTTAGATTCGTTAAACATAAATTGTCTGTCGTGGAAATATAAACTAGGTTTCCCCATCTTTTCAACTTTTTATCTGCCAGCTCTTCTTACAAGAGAAACGTTTTTCACACTCCATTTTACAATGAAATTTTTACCGCTGCACCTTGTATGCCGCAGAACAAACCCGTGAATGGGCCAAATCTAAAATTCACGTTTTTTTTTCCATACAATTACTACGTACCAAGCGTTAACAAATATCTCAAACATTCCTTTTTTCGTGTACTTATTTTATAAGCGTAAACCTTAACCAAACTTGGACACAAAACCCTTTTAAAATGTAGCCTTTTTTTAAACGGTTTTTGTGTGGAGGTTTGATTATTACAGTAGAGCGTCGATTATCCGAAAGTCAATCATCCGAAACGTCAATCATCGAAAAGAATTCCAGTGGGCAAATTTAAATTTTCGCCAGTACTGTGGCGCTGCATCTTTGGCTATGTCTTGGGCTACTCAAATATTTTACGTTTTTGATACTAAATTAACTTCTGAAGTATAATTTTTTATTATTTTTATATTTTTCAATATATTTATTTTGTTTGTACAAAATTAAAAAATAATTTTTAACGATACAATAGTCTATGTTAGGCTTAACATCGTCGAAAATTCAACGCAAAGCGACACGCAACTAATAAAAATTTCGACATCGGATACGTTAAACTATTTTTTCGTACGTAAATCAGTTATCCGAGATATCAGTTATCCGGACAACCCCAGTCCCCAATTGATTCGGAAAATCGACGGTCTACTGTATTTAAGAACAGTTAGAGAAGAGTGTGTAAACCTTAGTTTTTCCACATGTTTTCCGCTGTCTAAAAGTTTTAATCAGCCCCTGGATTGACCCTGAATTAATCAGCCCTGTGTAGAAAAAGCCTGGGTTGGCGACATCTCCCTAGATGGGAACTACTCCGCAATAAAATGTCTAGACCACGCGCGAATAATGTCGCTAGGCAACAGTTACCATAGTAACGGCTGTACTTTAACGTAAAAATATCGGTTATTTTAAGTTTTATCGCATTAGGCTGTAATTTTTAAATGTCCACCGTCGTACGTCTGTCCGTTTATTTTTTCTTTTTTATGTCAATTTCGAAAATGGAATTAGATGAAAATGAGGGAAATACGTATGGAAAGCTTTAAATTAAACCCGTTCGACTAAGCCAGCCGAATTCTACCTCATTGGTCGATGTTTAACGCGTGATTCACGCGTCACTCTTTCATTGGCTGGACTTTTGAAATTCGAATTTCTCGCTGTGTGAATGGCTGGTGCGTCACATACACAATTTAATTCGTTTGACGTCATTTTAAAATGGCGACAGCTACGGTGTTCGATCGAGTGATCTTCTTGGATGGAGTGACGGTTACGTAACTGACGTAAGTCTTATTATAAAAGATTACGTATATAGTAACGTTTATCAAACTGTTGCGTGCGGGCTCTTCGAAAAAGCGTAACTTGATTAGTCAAGCTGTCAGAAAAAGAATTTTAGGTTAATGTTAGCTATGGTGATTAATTTAAAATGGCCGCTCTTCCGACTGTTTGTGCACCCGACTGACCTCCCGTAGGGAGCCGCCGTGTGGTTAACGTCACTAGTTATTGATTCACGGTAGTTCTTGAACAAAGTAAAAAAAAGGAAACGTCTTTTAAAAATGTACTTAATCTAACGGAAAGGAGACGAACCTAACCGAAGCGCCGCCATTTTAGTCACCGTAGGTAACGTTTACCGTTGGTTTTTCGCGCCCTTTTATCCTTAACCCCATTCAATGTTCTTCTTTGGTGTTTATTTTTGTCGCTTAAATCCCATAAGACACTCAATGGCGTCGACGTTGTCTCTTTGACTCTACCGTATCTGAAAATCCCATGTTTTTTGTTTCATTTTTGGATTTACGATTTTCGTGCCTTTTGCCAGCTTTACTCAAATTATTTAAAAAGTCACGAGTAAGAATATTTATTTTATACTTTGATTATTAATAAACTCGGTTTGGAAATTTGTTTTATTTGTTAATTTAAAATGATTATCGATATAAAAATTCAAACATTTAGTAATCAATGCTTATGTTGGTCAGTCAGATAAGACATCTTTATATTCACAGCACCAAGAATTTATGTATTTCTTTATATTTTTTAAAACAATATGGTTGTGTTTGAACATTACCTTTTTCGCCCGATTACGACTTTCATTAAATGCTATTTTAACTAATGATGTTTCAGGTAAGAAATTCAAAACCGATCACATTACAGTGATTGAATGTTACTCTATTCATTTAGGAATTTATATTTTCATTTGTCATTTATATTATTTGTACTTATACAGAGGTCTGATATATGTTGGCTAGCTTCGTTTTTGACTGGATTTGTTACTCTATAAATTCGTTTTAAAATCTGTCGACTCTATTTTCTAAGTTTAATTAGACACAGATTTTTAATTACATTAATTAGAACGTAAATTTTGAAAACATTAATAATTCTTGACGACGACAATTTATCAAACTTGACTACTCGCAGCCACTTCCCATTACTCCCGATTGTAGCGTCCCTAGCGGCAAGCATCCAAACGATAGATACCTTACGCAAGATCGATGTCACGAGCACGTGCAATTGCCCGGCGCCATCTTTGAAGTTCGTCTACGTTTTATTTGTGTTTACGCGTGCTTTAGATGGTGTTATTTTGTGTTGTTTATTCGTCGCGAATATCACTATGGCGAATTTTTGTGTAATTGGTTGTAATGGTAGTTCACTGGAGAACAAAGGAACATGATTTTTTAAAATTACCGACATTATTTGTCATCGAGGACACCAAAATGAGGAATGTAGTTAGTGAATATCAATACAAGAGTTTGTCAGAAACATTTCATTTCAGGTAAGCAATAAATCAGATTGCTTATTATCAATAAATGATTAGATAAACTCTTGCATGTGTATTATAAAGTGTGTACAAGCATAAATTTTTTTTTTAATACCACAAAATAAAGTTAAGAATTATGTTAACAACTGCATACAGTCGAACCCCCTACAACACTGTTGATTATTCCGTTTTATATGAATTCCATGTTGTACGAGTCACTTAGATTTTACAAATACGTGTGGCGGGCTGTGAACGGCTCACGTATTTGTAAAATCTAATTGACTCGTACGACGTGGAATTCATATAAAACGGAATAATCAACAGTGTTGTAGGGGTTCGAGTGTATTTTAGTTTGAATAGATAATAATTGTGTTCTAGCTTTATCTTTCACCTTTCAATTTATTTTCTTAGTTTCTGCTTGTAATAAATATACAGTAGAGTTAATATTAAAGCATTAGGTAAAGATAATTGTTTAGCGGATGAAGAACTAGAAATGCATTTTGAATAATTGTCCTTTCAGTCTCATTTACATAAACAAAAGTGTGTGTATTTTTTTAAGATATAAACCACTTACAATAGTTCACTTACAAATAGCTAAGTTAGGTTATTCTGGTGAGCAACATTAACATTTCTTTAAAATGTTACTTTTTACAATGATTATTTATTACTAATGTAAAAAGTAACATCTTAAAGAAATGTAACCTTCAAGTTGTTCCTGACAAATTCTTATTTATTATTTATATATAACGTACCATAATGATAACTAATGCTAAGTATTTGTCTTACATTTCTCATTCATGGTGAGTAACACATGTAACTTTACAGCCACTTAATTACTCCACAGTGCAAGAGTAGTTAGAGTTCCTAAGATGGATGAGAGTTTGGTAAGTACCAGAGTTGATTTGATTTTATCACTGAGGATGGAAGTCTTCTTGGTTGTGGTCATTTGAACTCTGGATTAGTCCATTGGGAACAGCATGCATGGATATGATTCTTTTGTTGAAAGTTTGGACATTTGGATGCCAGGGGTGCAACTCTCTTTCTTGTCTCTGGGAGGATCTTTAGGAAATCCGAGTCTATCAGATATTCCCATAATTCGTTGTTGATGGGGATCGATTCATTTGTCGTTTCGATTGGGTTCTCAAACTGTCACCGAAAGTTTATGGGGGGGTCATCTGGGGATCAACTCCTTTCACTGGAAGTTTTTCTCTCTGATTACATTTATTGTTTTAACACAGTTAATAGATCGGATTAGTGATGTATTTATAATTTTGTGACATACTGTATGCTACTGCTCAGCTTTAACGGCCAACTGTTGTAACTGAAAAAAGGCATACAAATTTAAAAGTCTGATAGACAATTTACTACAAAACTTCATGTCTATTCGCTTGTGCCAGGAAATATAGGTGGCGTATGAGTCGACCAAAATGGCTGCCACAAAGGGTATAGCATGCGTGGCAATATACGAGAATTACATGTGTGTTGTCTTTTTAATGTATTTTTCTCTCTGTAGTCAAAACGTTTTATTCGCATTTGTGTCTGACATTAATCCTAGTTGATTTCGTAGTTGTTTAAGTCATGATGATTACACCTTATGACATTTTAGAATATGTGTGGTGATCGGAAAAGAGGCCTTATAATGAGAGGAAATGCTAAAGAAGGGATATTTTTCGTATATCTTGGTTAATTTTTATGTTGTGGATGGAAAATCCTGCGCAAAGAAATATTAGGGCCTTGAAGAGGGCGTGGGTGATTATATGAAAATAGGCTAACTTTCATAGGTTTAAGGATAAGGCTAATATTATAATTTAAAACTGATAACTTCATATCTATCCACCTCTTAGCAACTAATTCACTTCAGTTTCACCAACACCTAATTTTGCTGTGCTTAAAATTATTTTATTTTTACAAACGTTTTTAACCTATCTAATATAGACCATCGTCAGGTTTAATATTATAAATGTTCCAAAATGGAACGTACCGTTTTTGAATATTTTACATATTTAAAATTCAAAAAAATAATTTAACTT